GGGCAGGGGGCCAAACCTGCTGTAGCCTCCCGGGAGGGGAGGGCTTAGCCTACACGCGGGTGTAGGGGGGAAGGGGTCCACCCATTCCCGGACGCACTGTGGACTCGTCCGGTGGCTGCTTTTTGGAACGGGTCCGTGGAGGACAGTCCGGAAGTAGCCCGTCAGAAGAGCACTCGTCGGGCTATCAGACTTTCCAAAAACCTGATAAAGCGGGAGGTTTCCGGAGCTATTTTCGAGCTGTCCGTTCGGGCTGCAGGCGGACTGTCCCTTTCTCGGGCTTGTATCGGGCTCGAACGCTTTCAATAGGGAACACCTACTTCAACACTTCTATACTTTCAAAATAGTTTGTTTAATTGTGATGGCTACATTCTTGTTGTTTTACCATTACTAACACAACCGACTTCGGTATCTTATATTATTGACGTTGTTCATAGAGCAGTTGAAGACCTCAGCCAAATCGCTACCCACACAGCTGAAAGAAGCAGTCCAGACGCAATAGCTGAAGTACTTCCAGTAGATGTGCCTCCCTCGTCTGGTAGAGACACATACGGCACTCTTCCCGACGTGGCTAGGTCAATGAAGAATTTGGATGAATCCTTTAGCGTGCGTTTAAGAGTTCCCGACTCGTAATCGACGTGAATAAGCCCGAAAGGTCGGCTGAAACGTGAAAAACAGAACACAAAATGATAGACCATATATATATATATAATACACATACACACACACACACACACACATATTCGCAGCACCTTAACAGTGCAGAGCTCATAATAAAATTTCAATTTTACTGTTGTGAACATTAAGGGAAGGGCAATCGAGCACTCACCCAGTGTAACCCGCAGAAAACTCGAAGACATCTAGTAATGCCCACGCATAATACGCAAGAACTTCTACGTCGTATTCTTTCATGGTGCGCACTAGGGAACGGAGGTTAGCCTGAAAATTAGGGCCATATTAACGTATGAAAGCGAAGCATATTGCGTTTGAACTTGTCCGGAACCAAAAGAAGAACATCACGCTACACATTACTTCACACTGAAAAAATGATTTCTTTGAACTAATGGTAACATCCTTACTCCAAGGGAATTTTTCGTTCATATAACATGACAGAATTAGATCGTCACTTTGAAGGAGCTTTCTTTGTTTTATAGAATAGACCATTTCAGTTTCGGTGACAAGAAGAAGAAAAGAAAAACCGAAACAGGAAAGAAATGGGCGAGGGGTGAAGAGAGACGGAGGGTGGGGGATGACTAGAAGGCAGTGTTTTTCCAGTTTGTTATTCTTTTCTTCTTCTAATCACCAAAACCTGAATGGTCTATTGTAGACCTTTTATCCAAACGATGTGGCAAAAAATAGTTTCAAGCGACAAACTCTTAATTGTGACCAAAATTCAAAATTCTGGCCACGGTGTTTGATTTTTATGACTAGTCCGCATCAAACACAGTGGCCAAAATTTCAAATACTGACCACAGAGAAGAGGTCGTCGCTGGACAAAAATAGCGATATTTGGGCGACAGTACGAATATCCGCTTTGGATAAAACGTCTATTCTTTACCATACGGTGACGAATTCGTTCACAAAATGAAGGAAAATAACTAAAGTTATGCGGCTCCTTAAATCTCTCAACTGATTTAACAATTAAGTAATGTGAGCATCTTACTGATCATACTTCCGTACCCGATGTAGATAAAAAGTGTTCTATGCAAGGTTTACTCCTAATCTACAGAAGGGCACCCTCTAGGCTAAGAGAGTCCTTGGCACATCCACTGGTTTTCTGACATTATCGAATTTTGGGTGGGGATTGCACCGGGTTGGTCCCTGAACACCCCAATTACATATTCAGTTCAGTTGCCTTGTTAGTGTTAGTATAGTCAGGCACAAAGTAACGCCCAAATTAACATGAGCTTGAATATCGCGCCATGTCGGGCGATGGGGTCAATAATAACTCTGCCATTTCGAATCCGATTCCCAATTCATACTAAGCTAAATATGAGTACAGAAGTGTCTTGCTTGTACATATTGGTTTTGCGATTGGCATGCAAAATATTGATTCAGTCCCTCTTGTAAAAAGAAAACTAAAACGTTTTGTATGCTCAAGGACAAGCGGAGTTGTTGACCCCATAGAACATTTCACCCGACCTCTCGAAAAACAAAAATACCGGAAGTCGGGCAGTATATGGAACGCTCCTAGCCCTTAAACACGTTACATTGAAGCGGCTTGTGCCGTAAGAATATATTTTTGACTAATTAGAGGGCTACTTTCGGACAGTCCGGGATCGGACTCGGATTGCTGACGGACTGTCCTGGGACATATTTGGAAGTGCCCGAGACGATCGGCTGGTTTTGGAACAGTCCTGGACGACTTTCGGAATGATTTCGTTTTATAAGGGAAATTTAGTTCGGAGAAGAGTAGATTGTCAGTTACATGGACGACAAACCTCTATTTTGAGTGACACTTTATCTTGACTTCCGGTATTTTTGTTCTTCGAGAGGTCGAAAAGCGCTTGGGCGAAATGGTCTATTGCCCCGTTATAGAGCGAAATTGACATGTCAATATGTATGCTAATAATGCTGCTATACCAACGTCAACAACGCGTACACAACAGTACTGATCATGCACTGGGAGTGTCCAGCGACCAATTCGGCGAAATCCCCAGACAAAATCTTTCCGCAGATACCAAATAAATAGGCAACAACTGAGACCAGTCAAAAATCGTCCTCCGCCATCTTAGATTCTTCTGGCACATATGACTTACAGCCTGGGTTTGTAACGTAGAAAGGATTTAAAGCTGCCATATTACGAACGATTTTCCTTCAAATTGCAAACAGC